TTCCCTCAGCGGGCTGTAAAGTTTAACTTGCACCGATGTTTCTCTTGGCCAAAAGTATTGCACCGATATGTTGGATTTGGGACAATCTTAGAGGACATGATCTGTTGTCTCAGGTGCCAGTCCACATGTGCACATGGCTGATTCGCCGATTGTAAATTGTGTATACATGTGGCTGCGAAGTCAACTCTAATGCGGTCATAGGTCACTGGAAAAGTTTTGAAAACTTCACCGACAAATGTAAAGAAAAAGATCGGTCCATAACAACAGGCCCTATATACATAGATATTCTATTGAATACAGAAAACGAAAATTATTATCCAGATATCATCGGGTGAAAGATAAAAAAAAAAAATGTGTATTGCAAAAACAAAAGACACCGCTCCGCAGCCAAACTGTGTCAGGTATGCCTGCATAAAGAACACAAGTAACGAACAGTTACAGGTATGGCTTTTCACTTCAACCAGAGTTTCAGAACAGTGTTAGTACCCCAGGGTTTGGTAAAAAGCTATTTAATCCCACTTCCTAAACAAAGCATAGACCATTGAAGACTAAGCAGCTTTAGGATTATCACTCTACAACATACTTTTGGAAAAGGTACTGGAGAAATTGATGCTGTTAAACTGCGATCGTTTTTGGAAACGGAAGAGCTTCTGCAAAAAGGTTTGGGTGATTAACCGGTCAGCAAAAGATACCTGGTCAAATGCTGACACTTTTGCTTGTGTTTTTAATGACGGCTTCAGAAACAGACAGGAGATAGTAGTGGTAGCACTTGATCTTGAGGATGCCTACAGTAGAGTCAGATATGATATTTTTATGTTTGCTGATATGCAGAAGGGTTTTGTCTCCAGCTAGTGAACTGGATCGCAGATGTCCTGCATTCAACGTATTGTTGCTCTCTGTCTGCTACATGGACCTCAGAGCCATGTAATATCGTCAGGTAGGGTTCTGCAGATCCCCAGTGCTGCTCTCAAACATGTATACAAGTAAAATTGCAGAAGCTACGTGTGTTGGTAGGATATTGATGCATGTTCTTGCATAAAGGCAGGGGAACGATAGGCAACACACAGCCAAAGAGCTACAGACAATAGTAGAAGAAAATAACTGGCTGGAGTGCAGAGAAAGGTTTTATCATCAAGCCAGAAAAGACCGCTGTTTCATGGTGTTTTCTGAACATTAGTTTTGTCATCAGAACTGATGTCCCAAGCATCACAGCGAATTATAGTATCGTTAACAGATAAAGGTAACTGGGGTAGCCTTGTGTCGCCTTCAGTAGGAACATGTCCTTCATCGACAGTTTGGAGGCCTAGATGTTGTGATGATCTATGTAGAGGCTCTGTGTTGAGAGGTAGAGGTTCATGGGGGTTCATATCAAAAGCGAATAGTTTACCCTTAGTGTAACTGATCCGGGACATATGCCATCACATCTAGTTTAAGTATAGATGTGGAGGCAGTCAGTGACGAGGTGTATTGTAAGTTAACAGAGCATGTTGAGAACCCGACTACACACACATTGTAAGGTATGTTGAGATTGTAAGTGACTCAAAGAGCATGTTGAGATTGTAAGTGACTTAAAGAGCATGTTGAGATTGTAAGTGACTTAAAGAGCATGTTGAGATTGTAAGTGACTTACAGAGCATGTTGGGATTGTAACTGACTTACAGAGCATGTTGTGATAGTAACTGACCCCTAGAGCACGGTGAGAAAGGTGGAGACATGCATGCTCAGTACAGAGTGGCCTGCGTCGCACCAGAGGTTCAGTCAGGGCCTCTTAACGCAGGAGCCGGCGAATGCCTGGAGCCCCACGGTCTAAGGGCCTTATGCTAATTTGTGTATGTAAATTGAGTTTACATGTGACTCTTCTGTGAAAAGGAAAACCGCAAATCGTGTTTTAATACGTTAATGGTAATTTCATTCTGTGCCATCTAATCTATGTTCCTGTTTTAACTCTAGTTGCATTGAAATGCCAGTTTTTTAGCTAACAACATCGGAAAGTTAAATTTTTTTTTAAGTTTAGATTTTTATTTTAATAATATCGCCAGGTGATGATTTGTCAATACTACGGAGAGGGAGATATGATTGGTGGAAAGGGGCGGGGGGGGGGATGCCAGACACAGTTAACTGAGAGAGCTTAAATTATTATTTTAAAGTTCTCATTTCTTAACTATTTCTACTTTAATAATTTCACCATGGATGATTTTTCAATCCTTCGGAGAGGGAGATATGACTGGGTCGAGGGGAGGGGGGGGAGGGAGGGAGGAATATGACAAGACACTGTTAGCTGAGAGCTTTTTACTTTCCTCTACATTTCATCATTTTGGGCCACAGCAACGCGTGGCCGGGAACAGCTAATCATACATATAGAGAGGCATATATTTTCTAGAGAAGAGTTTAAATGCCTAGCCGCACGCCGATAGCATTGCACAAAGCACGATCTCCTGAGTTTCAGCGACTGAGTGCAGGTATCTCTGTAAAATTGCTCTCAATAAACGAACGATGCCATCTTTGAAGCATATGTGTGTATTTGATGAAAGTGGATAGGACGGTTCAGTTGGTCTGTAACTTTAAAAAAAAAAAGCGGACAACGGTGTGACTGAGCAACTGTGGAAGTCAGTTGCCCTAACTGTTAAAAACTGCTGTCAAATTGCCATGTAACTGTGGAAGCAAGCGGAGTTATAATTCCACAGTGAGAGAAGAGTTAATGTCGTCACTACAATAACATAACAAAACCCTTGGCCCATTAGGGTAGTGGGGGTTAATTGATAGAAGCACTAGCACATAAAACCTGCCATCTTTCTCTGTCTTTCGCTTTATGAAAAAAATGTATGATAACTTAGTCCTGTCCACCTCTTATGTCGTCATTCAAGGTTCTTCTTTGCTTCTTCACTACAATATAAATTCTTAGTTACACTGCATTTTATCAGTCTGAATCAATAATTTTATCGATCTGAAGTGTGATAACATTCTGGCCGATAACAATTTATCTTTACAGTCTCTTCTCTAAGGGAAGGCTGACATATAATGAGGAGCGCTCCACAGCGCAGTCACGTTTGTGTTATCTCGAACTAGTCTGTAATATTATTGACCAGGATTCCTGTGAGTGGGTGCTGTAGGGGGTCCCTGCACACTTGTTTGCTCCGGTGCTCACAATGTTGTTAAGATTGCCCCGCGTACAGTGTAGTTGACTTGGATATTTTTCCAGGGAATACATGTGTGTTGGGAAATGAACATCAGACAGACTGGCTGGTTCTACATCTTTCTGTGGTAAACTGATGCATGACACGCTAGATGTTGCCAAAACCCTTTGGGAGCGAGTGATCATTGCGGGGGCACAATTAGATTACCACAGTCTGAAGAGATTGGTGCAACATGTGAGGACCAGGGGTCTGGCCGACTCTCAACACTTAGAGAACAGGTGGGAGTGCTAGTGGTATCATCGAAGATGGAACTCTCCGCTAGCTGCTGAAGATAGGGACAAAGCTTTTATGGAAATGTACCAAGTGATATGATTTTGCTTCTTTAAACTCAATGAGCTGTGGGACTAAAAGAAATGTTAGCATGCAAAGACGCATGCGCACAGCCTTGACAACTGTTGCTAGAGACGCAGTCAGCGAGTTAAAAAGTTTCACTCAGGCGCACTGTGGGATGTTCAGGTATTGTTTGTGAGGTGTTGTATGTGGAGAATCTTTCTCACTTAAGGCAGCCTAGTATAAATCGTTTCATTAACATGTTGAGTATAAAACCGAGTTTGGCTATACTACCAAAACAAGAGACAGCGCGTTATTGTGTGTGTTTTTTTTTTAAAAATCCTGTGCAGCGAATCTTCAGTGGACGTGCAACCTGATAAGGATAAGTATCGACGATACTATCGTTATTTTGTGACTTGTCTCTTTTGAATCAATAATTAACGCATCCCATTATCAAACAAAACATTTAAGCAACAATTTCCTATTGTTATTATTATTAGGCACGGCTTTTTTTTCTGGGGGTACACAACGGTACTGACACCTTTTGTTAGGTCATTTTTTCTAGCACTACAGAAAAATAGACACTGACGTGTATCCTTTTTTTAAAAACAGTTTTCACCTCCCCCCCCCCCCCCCCCCCCACCTAGAAAGAAGCCCTGGTATTAAGAAATACAATCAGTTCACAAACTGTAACTATGCTTTAATAATAATTTAAATAATGAGTTAATTAGTTACTATTTAGTAGTTTGTTACTATTGGTTCTTTCAAAATTATATAATTTACAATTTATTGTAATTATAATTTGTCTTTAGTGAAATTGTAGGAAAGTTGGCGTCAGTGGAATTGTATGTGTGTGTATGTGTGTGTATGTGTGTGTATGTGTGTGTATGTGTGTGTATGTGTGAATGTGTGTGTATGTGTGTATGTGTGTGAATGTGTGTGTATGTGTGTGAATGTGTGTGAATGTGTGTGTATGTGTGTGAATGTGTGTGAATGTGTGTGAATGTGTGTGTATGTGTGTGTATGTGTGTGTATGTGTGTGTATGTGTGTGAATGTGTGTGTATGTGTGTGAATGTGTGTGTATGTGTGTGAATGTGTGTGAATGTGTGTGAATGTGTGTGAATGTGTGAAATGTTGAGACTTTTGTGAAAGAGAAACAAATCTGGGTACTGAGAGCTGCAGTTGAAAGAACATGCATCAGACCAGCTGCAGTTGAAAGAACATGCATCAGACCTGCTGCAGTTGAAAGAACATGCATCAGACCAGCTGCAGTTGAAAGAACATGCATCAGACCAGCTGCAGTTGAAAGAACATGCATCAGACCAGTTTGGGAAAACATCCCCTAAACTTGTAGTTGATGTTTTCCTCTAAAATATTTTTCTTTAATCTTCTTACTGCTCCTTTAATAAACATATGTTTTATTGTTAACTTTTAAACATATTTCTTTCCAGATTTCTTTCATATTAAAAAAACAGATTTCTTTCATATTTCAAGAAACAGATTTCTTTCCCGAGTTGCTTCAGATACCAGAAAACATGGGACAAACATTAGCCAGATCAGCACAGTGGGCAACTCCCAAAGAGGGTGGAAAAGGGAAACTAGAATACTCGAGCTTGAACGAAAGCCTTCTCAATACAATTCTCAAATTTGTGGAGACTCCCAGTAATAAAACCAGTGATGAAAGAAAACTCATCTTCAAGAAGCCCCTGGTCTGGACAACACAGCTGAAACCTTCTGCTCTTGAAGGACCAGGTTATGTTTTCAATGAAAAGTAAGTAGCAGTCATTTAACTCTTGCAGTTCTAGCTAATGACAACATCTGCTAAACATAAATGCTCTGTCTTATAACACCATGATCACAATATAAACAACATCGATAAGACTGGTTATCCTGAATGGCTGTGAAAACTAGAGCACAGCTAAAAAGGATAAAGTCTTTTTACAAATTCTTTTAAACAGAATCAGACGATGAATTTTTAAGCCCATCAGAGTTGCAAACAGTAGAGAATGGAGAGCAAAAAGCAACAACAAAACGAAGAATTACAACTAATTACTGGCATCCTAGGGGCTAATAGGTTGCTGTGGCTGGGGCATGTGTTTGCCATTGTCAAAAACTACATACACAAACGAGTTGGATGGAAGTAGACAAAGCAGTTGGTACAGATACTCTAAAGACAAGTCTACTAACACTTGGAGTAACCAACTTGAAAGTGAAGACAGTCACATAGATGAACGGAGGCGGGTGATATCTGGAGCAGTCAGCCTCAAAGGCTTGGAATACTGAAGAAGGAAAAGTCGCAGGCCAGCATTATTTTTACTAATTATATTCTAAGGAGTTGTTAGTTTAACTAATGTTATTTTTATTCAGGTCTTTAACTAGTTCTGAGGTTGGACGAGGGTACAGACTCTGATGACATTCTCTTTAGTGAATTACACATGGAGAGAAGATGTTAAGATCAACCTGTCCTATAATTTTTTTTTGAGGCATGATTTTCTTGGGATGGTACAGCGGTGGTTTCCCCTTGCCTTCCCAGTATAGACTCCAATAGCCTTTGTCTAAAAAGACCCTACCCTGCAAGGCTCGAGTATTATGGCGCCTCTTACCCACGATGGCCCTGTCGTAGAGTTTTGAGGTATTTTATAGATTAGCTGTCCCAAACTAACTCGCCTCCTCTCAATGACCATCTGTTTTTGGTCCACGGCCACTTATTCAATATATTCGTGGCTAACCTCTATATCTAGAGGCCTTTCCACATCCGCCACCTGGTGGACGCGCCTAGTAGTAGGACAGGCTCCTACCCCAGGTTTTTTTGTTTTTTTGTTATTTTAAGACAAGTACAGAAATTTAAGTATCTGGGCCATGGATAACATCAGATGGAAGATGCATAACTGAAATAAGAAACAGAATTGGACAGGCAAAAACTGCATTTTATAAAATGAAAAACATCTTGTGCAATATATCCCTGTCATTGAGAGAGTTAGAAAAAGAATTCTTGCTTGCTACATACATCCAGTTTTAACATATGGATGTGACAATCGGTAGGCAGGCAAACAATTTTTGGAGGCCTCAGAGATGTGGTTTTACAGAAGAATGCTTAGAATACCTTGGACAGCCAAAAAGAGCAACCAAGAGGTTTTAAAAGAGGCGGGAGACCGAAGACAACTTATCACTGACATCAGAAGGAGACAGTCATCATTTTTCGGCCATGTTATGAGAAGAGGGAAAATAGAACATGTTGTGACCACTGGAAAGATCTGTGGAAGGAGGGATAGAGGAAGACAACGAGAGAAGATGCTTGACAGTCTTGTTGCATGGCATGGAGGTGTGTCGGCACACGAACTGATACATGCTGCAGGAGATCGCGGATTATGGAGAGGCATGATCGCCCACGCCACTCGGCAAGGCACCTGATGATGATGATGATAATTTTTTTTATTTAAAATTTTTTTTTTTAACCCTTAGGCTCGGTATTAAGGATATCGCAACCCTCGGCCTTGATTCAATGATAAATACTGTAAATCTGGGAGAAATGTGGCTTTTCCACCTACCCCCGGGCGCAAACCCGGACCACAAGGAGTTCATCACCGTGTCACCTCGCAGTCTGGTTTAGCCAACTACGCTAGAGAGCCGGTGTCCTATGATATAAAGATGTAGCACAAGAGATTTGAATAATACAGGTTTTGTGGGAACAAGATGTCATGGACCATGTTGCATGTAGGGGAAACATCAGGAAAGGAACTGGGATTTTTTTTAAAGTAAGAAAAAGAAAAAAGAAAGACAATGATTGCAGAAAGGCTAAGAGCTGACAGTCAGGAAATGCACATTGAATACATGCTGGTCATACTGGCTGTAATGATGGGCTATTATTCCCATGCCTTACTGTGGCAGAATCTTACACTATTGTATGGAAACATGGAAAGATGCCAACAATAACTAGTTCTGCTTATCGACTGTATTTATTTTACTGAAACTAATTGGGGCCTGAAGAAGCTAGAATAATAATTATACTATCAGACAAAAGCACATGAAATTGGGGCAGGACCTTATATCTCTCTCAACATACATAGCATTAGAAGAAGTGAAGAAGAATAAGTTGAGTTTAACCAGTTTATTCCTGGCTGTATCCATTCTAATTTGTGTACCTACCAAAGCTTAGCAATAAAATTGGGCTGTCTGGTTAGTTCATTTTGATGTGATTATTTTTTTGAGTCTAACTAATATCAGTAAGCTACATTTTTAATTAAAATGCTACAGTTTGGCTTCTTTTTGAGTTTAACTAATATAGGTTAGCAACATTTGTAACATAATCTCTTGAGTTTACCTACTTCTTGAGTTTACCTACTATATTTTGGTTACTATTTTGAGTTTAACTTTTGTAACTGGGCTGCCTAATATGTTTTATCACTTTATTTTTTCTACTTTTGCATCACAGACATGGAACTCTTACATCTGAAGCAACTGTAGCTAAAGGTGAAATGCCACTGCTAGAACTGAACAACGACAAACTCACTATCATGTCCCTTGAACAAGCAGAGTATGTGTTACGGGTGGCTGGAGATAAAAAGATGGCTGAACTGAGGGCCTGCTTGGAAGGTGACATTTGTTTTGTGAAATTCTCTGTGCGGGTTCCAGTGTCCCATTTGAGGGAAAATGTATCAAGGATAGACCCACTGCCTCGTAACAAGCATGTCATAAAAGGCAATAAATTAGAAGTTTACTAAAATTGACTGTCTTGGATCGTTGCAGCCTAGCTTAAACAACCACACAATGTGCCACTCGTTCTTATGTGTCTAGTAAGACCTGCTCATGTTTAGAAATGTCTTTCACAACAAAAGCTTGGGATTTCTATACCATTGTGGCTTTCCAATGTCTTTAACATCATTCTTTTCAGGTTCTCGGCTCTAAACCTGTCTGCAGTCATTTATATGTGTGTGTACACATGCACACTTGTATGTTTGTGTGTGTGTGTGTGTGTGTGCATGCATGCATGTATGTGTTTCTTTTCCCTTTCAGATTTTCTTTTTATTATGCATATGATCCATGACATCTTCTTCCCATGAATCCACCTCAAAACCTGCATCTTTGATGTCCCACTTGTACACACATTTATACTATGTTTGTTGTTTGTTTTAGTATCAAGAAGCCATGTTGTTAACCTTTAGAATCGGTATTATGGATATCGCAACCTTTCGGCCTTGATTCCATTGTAAATACCGTAAATCTGGGAGAAATGCGGCTTTTCTGCCTACCCCCGGGAGTGAACCCGGACCACAAGGAGTGCGTCACCCGGTCACCGTGCAATCCAGTTTAGCCAACTACGCTAGAGAGCCTGGCACATTTATACTATAGAAGAGGCCAGTGAACAAATCTTCTGTATGGTGTATATGAACTCACTCAAAGTAAAGTGCTTATTATTTTTCAAAGTGGTTATTTCACCCTTGGGAGAAGCTGTGATGTAGTTGCCTAGATGCTCGCCCTGGGTGTGAAGGTTATAGGTTCAAATCCACATCAACATTGGTTTTTAAAATGAACTTGGCTTCCAGGTTGACCTAAAATGAGTACCAGGTAAAGTCCTGGGAGGTAAAGGTGGCTGTGTGATGTTGGCCACATCATTCACAGAGTGCCAGTTGGTCTAGGACTCTTTGTACATCTAAAGGCATGGAAAAGAGTCCTTATTTCACCCTTTAGGCATCCATTGGCAAAACCATATAGGTCTTGAAGATTCAAAGCGAGTATTTGTATTAGTGTTCAGTCTTGTTTGTCATTTATCAGTGTGATTATTTTCAGAAATCAGATCTCATCATCATCATTATGTTCCTAGTTGATAAGTGTAGGCTGTCATGTTCTCATGCAATCACCAGGTCTTTCCTATGTCTATGCCATCCATGTATTTTGCTTTCAACCTGGCTCTTTCCCTGTCATGTTGCCAATTGTCACCAGGTCCTAGAGCCTATTCCTTCTCATAACTTGTCAAAAACAGACAATCTACATCTCATTTCTCTGATCAGTTCACGGTTTTCATCTGTTACAACTAGGACTGCCTTATTTGTATTTCTATTGCTCTATGTTATTTCTTTGTATTTTTATAAAAAAGTCATAAGTCAATTTCACATCGAAGTTAAGTTGTGAAATGATGACTATTCTTGGCATCTTGATGAAGGCAGCTTAGTGTGATCCTCTGCTTCCTATCTGGGTAGTGTAATCCTCTGCCTGCCATCTTGGTAGTGTAATCCTCTGCCTGCCATCTGGGTAGTGTAATCCTCTGCCTCCCATCTGGGTAGTGTAATCCTCTGCCTCCCATCTGGGTAGTGTAATCCTCTGCCTGCCATCTGGGTAGTGTAATCCTCTGCCTGCCATCTTGGTAGTGTAATCCTCTGCCTCCCATCTGGGTAGTGTGATCCTCTGCCTCCCATCTGGGTAGTGTAATCCTCTGCCTCCCATCTGGGTAGTGTGATCCTCTGCCTGCCATCTGGGTAGTGTGATCCTCTGCCTGCCATCTGGGTAGTGTGATCCTCTGCCTGCCATCTGGGTAGTGTAATCCTCTGCCTCCCATCTGGGTAGTGTGATCCTCTGCCTCCCATCTGGGTAGTGTGATCCTCTGCCTCCCATCTGGGTAGTGTAATCCTCTGCCTCCCATCTGGGTAGTGTGATCATCTGCCTGCCATCTGGGTAGTGGGATCATCTGCCTCCCATCTGGGTAGTGTAATCCTCTGCCTCCCATCTGGGTAGTGTAATCCTCTGCCTCCCATCTGGGTAGTGTAATCCTCTGCCTCCCATCTGGGTAGTGTAATCCTCTGCCTGCCATCTGGGTAGTGTAATCCTCTGCCTGCCATCTGGGTAGTGTGATCATCTGCCTGCCATCTGGGTAGTGTAATCCTCTGCCTCCCATCTGGGTAGTGTAATCCTCTGCCTCCCATCTGGGTAGTGTAATCCTCTGCCTGCCATCTGGGTAGTGTAATCCTCTGCCTCCCATCTGGGTAGTGTAATCCTCTGCCTGCCATCTGGGTAGTGTAATCCTCTGCCTCCCATCTGGGTAGTGTAATCCTCTGCCTCCCATCTGGGTAGTGTGATCATCTGCCTGCCATCTGGGTAGTGTAATCCTCTGCCTCCCATCTGGGTAGTGTAATCCTCTGCCTGCCATCTGGGTAATGTAATCCTCTGCCTGCCATCTGGGTAGTGTAATCCTCTGCCTCCCATCTGGGTAGTGTGATCCTCTGCCTGCCATCTGGGTAGTGTAATCCTCTGCCTGCCATCTAGGTAGTGTGATCATCTGCCTCCCATCTGGGTAGTGTAATCCTCTGCCTCCCATCTGGGTAGTGTAATCCTCTGCCTCCCATCTGGGTAGTGTAATCCTCTGCCTCCCATCTAGGTAGTGGGATCATCTGCCTCCCATCTGGGTAGTGTAATCCTGTGCCTCCCATCTGGGTAGTGTAATCCTCTGCCTCCCATCTGGGTAGTGTAATCCTCTGCCTGCCATCTTGGTAGTGTAATCCTCTGCCTCCCATCTGGGTAGTGTAATCCTCTGCATGCCATCTGGGTAGTGTAATCCTCTGCCTGCCATCTGGGTAGTGTAATCCTCTGCCTCCCATCTGGGTAGTGTAATCCTCTGCCTACCATCTGGGTAGTGTAATCCTCTGCCTACCATCTGGGTAGTGTAATCCTCTGCCTCCCATCTGGGTAGTGTGATCCTCTGCCTCCCATCTGGGTAGTGTGATCCTCTGCATCCCATCTGGGTAGTGTGATCCTCTGCCTCCCATCTGGGTAGTGTGATCCTCTGCCTCCCATCTGGGTAGTGTAATCCTCTGCCTCCCATCTGGGTAGTGTAATCCTCTGCCTGCCATCTGGGTAGTGTAATCCTCTGCCTACCATCTGGGTAGTGTAATCCTCTGCCTACCATCTGGGTAGTGTAATCCTCTGCCTACCATCTGGGTAGTGTAATCCTCTGCCTGCCATCTGGGTAGTGTAATCCTCTGCCTCCCATCTGGGTAGTGTGATCCTCTGCCTCCCATCTGGGTAGTGTGATCCTCTGCCTCCCATCTGGGTAGTGTGATCCTCTGCCTCCCATCTGGGTAGTGTGATCCTCTGCCTCCCATCTGGGTAGTGTGATCCTCTGCCTGCCATCTGGGTAGTGTAATCTTCTGCCTCCCATCTGGGTAGTGTAATCTTCTGCCTGCCATCTTGAGACAATGACCAAACAACAATAAGTCTGCAGCTCTCAAGCCCAGTCTTCCACCTACTGCCAAAATAGAGAAGCTAAACAGGTACTCCACCATGCCTGTCCCAAGGGCTTGTGGAGGTGAGGCTGCACCATATTTCTCCTTTGATAGAGGATACCCCTCACTGCTATCTCTTATATCTGGAACTTGCAAAGAATGTGTCTGTTGCATCACTCCATAATGAAATGTTCCACAAATGTTTTTTACTATAATACCAATCGGCAGAAAATGAAGATGTGATGGCCAAGATGCTTGGAGACAGATTTGCAACTGTGGAAGGGACAGATAACTCCATCTTCCGTTTTCACGAGGAGATAACCAAGGAAGTTGAAGCTCTAGCAAAACAGGTTGTGATTTGATTTGTTTTGTCTTTTATGATGGATAATTTTAAAAATTGTGTCATTGTGGGTGTTTTATTTATGTAAGGTATTTTATTACACATGTTTTTTAAAAATTTTATTTGGTAATGCTTTAATGTTATCTTGAATTTATATATATTTTATTTTAAACAATTGTGAAGACTTTCGATGAAATTATGGTGATAACAAATGGATACAGACAAGAAATTAACCTGGTAAGATTTCTATAGTTTCATCCCTGCTTGGGTTCTGAGGTCCTGTTTGGGTTCCGAGGTCCTGTCTGGGTTCTGAGGTCCCCTTTTGGATGAAAAAATAATAGATCCACTGCCCATCCGCCAACAAACATCTTGTAGAGGACTGCTAATTAGGGGTGTGCTGAAATCAGATGTGTAGGGATGAAATGTGCAGATATCACAGGTTAGCTGTAGGCCACAATATGCCGAATGCCCAGGAAAAAAAAAGATGTAATGTCTCACAAGAATTTAGTGTGTATGCAGAATTTTCTCAGAATCTTACAAGTCTATGGCCTTCCCAGTTTGGGTTCCAGGGTCCCATTGTGGGGAAAACAAGACCAGACACACTGCCTCCCCAACAAGTATGTTGTAAGAGTCAACTAACTGGGGGCTTCCTTTGAAGTCAGAGTGCATCTGCATGAAAGGCAAAGAACCAGCAGTCTGCATACAAATAAGTCAGATGTGTAAGATGGTTCTGGCATAAGTCCAAAGTCCAGAGTTGGATGAACCACCAGAACTTTCTGCCAGAGGTTGCAGCCAGTGAACACAAAAAAGAAGAAGATTTTGTGGCCTGCACATTCACATACTTTAATAACATATTTGTTTGTTGGAAATTAATAATTGACAGACAGAAAAAAGTGATGAAAAGTCGAAAGATGTGGATGAAAAGAAGACAGTACTTCGCCTTAGACTAAAGTTGCTTCAGTTGGATGAACAAATGATGAACACTAGCATACTGACCATAACCAGGTAACACAACATAATTTTTAAATACAAGTGACATGACAAAATGCAAGTGGCTTGACAAAATGCAAGTGACTTGACAAAATACAAGTGACATGACAAAATACAAATCATCATCATCATCATCAGGTGCCTTGCTGACTGGCATGGGCGATCATGCCTCTCTATAATCTGCAATCTCCTGCAGCATGTATCAGTTCGTGTGCAGACACACGTCCATGCCATGCAACAAGACGGTCAAGCATCTTCTCTCGTTGTCTACCTCTATCTCTCCTTCCACTGGTCACAACATGTTCTATTTTCCCTCTTCTCATAACAATGGCCGAAAAATGATGACTGTCTCCTTCTGATGTCTGTGATAAGTTGTCTTTGGGCTCCCGCCTCTTTCAAAACCTCTTGGTTGCTCTTTTTGGCTGTCCAAAGTATTCTAAGTATTCTTCTGTAAAACCATATCTCCGAGGCCTCTAGAAATTGTTTAGCCTGCCTACCAATATAGCATGACAAAATAAAAGTGACATGACAAAATACAAGTGACATGACAAAATACAAGTGACATAACAAAATACAAGTGACATGACAAAATGCAAGTGACATGACAAAATACAAGTGACATGACAAAATGCAAGTAACAGGACAAAATGCAAGTGACATGACAAAATACAAGTGACATGACAAAATACAAGTGATATGTCAAAATACATGTTACATGACAAAATTCAAGTGACATGACAAAATGCAAGTGACATGACAAAATACAAGTGACATGACAAAATGCAAGTGACAGGACAAAATGCAAGTAACATGACAAAATACAAGTGACATGACAAAATACAAGTGATATGTCAAAATACACGTGACATGACAAAATACAAGTGGCACAACAAAATACAAATGGCATGGCTAAATACAAGTGACATGACAAAATACAAGTGACATGACAAAATACAAGTGACATGACAAAATACAAGTGTCATGACAAAATGCAAGTGACATGACAAAATGCAAGTGACATGACAAAATGCAAGTGACATGACAATTTCATACTATCTAGCAACATTTAAAAAAAAGTTAGCTGCCTTTTCTTTACAGGATGTAGCAGAACCAACCCCAACATTGATTGGTTGTTGTGGTTTTTCTGGGCAAATTTTAAGTTCAGTAGTTCGCCATTACTTTCTGAATGGTTAGCTCTTGGTACTACTGTCGAAACCAGCGCAAGACAAAACGTCCGCAGCATTAATCGAACCTGGCACCCCGACATTACGAAGCACGTTCGCAACACCTAAGCCACAGACAGCAACATAAAGAAAGGTTTAATTTTGAGAACTGAATGTCTAACTGTCCGGAATTGATGCTCTGGGAGAGAAAGTCTAACTGCCTGGTATTGATGCTCCGGGAGGCAGAGTCTAAGTGCTTGGTATTGATGCTCTGGGAGACAGTCTAACTGCCTGGTATTGATGCTCCGGGAGGCAGAGTCTAACTGCCTGGTATTGATGCTCCGGGAGGTAGAGTCTAACTGCCTGGTATTGATGCTCCGGGAGGTAGAGTCTAAGTGCCTGGTATTGATGCTCCAGGAGGTAGAGTCTAACTGCCTGGTATTGATGCTCTGGGAGGCAGAGTCTAACTGCCTGGTATTGATGCTCCAGGAGGTAGAGTCTAACTGCCTGGTATTGATGCTCCAGGAGGCAGAGTCTAAGTGCCTGGTATTGATGCTCCAGGAGGCAGAGTCTAAGTGCCTGGTATTGATGCTTCGGGAGGTAGAGTCTAACTGCCTGGTATTGATGCTCCAGGAGGCAGAGTCTAAGTGCCTGGTATTGATGCTCCAGGAGGTAGAGTCTAAGTGCCTGGTATTGATGCTCCTGGAGGCAGAGTCTAACTGCCTGGTATTGATGCTCTGGGAGGCAGAGTCTAACTGCCTGGTATTGATGCTCCAGGAGGTAGAGTCTAACTGCCTGGTATTGATGCTCCAGGAGGCAGAGTCTAAGTGCCTGGTATTGATGCTCCAGGAGGCAGAGTCTAAGTGCCTGGTATTGATGCTTCGGGAGGCAGAGTCTAAGTGCCTGGTATTGATGCTCCGGGAGGCAGAGTAACTGCCTGGTATTGATGCTCTGGGAGGCAGAGTCTAACTGCCTGGTATTGATGCCCCAGGAGGCAGAGTCTAACTGCCTGGTATTGATGCTCTGGGAGACAGTCTAACTGCCTGGTATTGATGCTCTGGGAGGCAAAGTCTAACTGCCTAGTATTGATGCTCCGGGAGGTAGAGTCCAACTGCCTGGTATTGATACTCTGGGAGGCAGAGTAACTGCCTGGTATTGATGCTCTGGGAGGCATAGGCTAACTGCCTGGTATTGATGCTCCGGGAGGCAGAGTAACTGCCTGGTATTGATGCTCTGGGAGGCAGAGTAACTGCCTGGTATTGATGCTCTGGGAGGCATAGGCTAACTGCCTGGTATTGATGCTCCAGGAGGTAGAGTCTAAGTGCCTGGTATTGATGCTCCTGGAGGCAGAGTCTAAGTGCCTGGTATTGATGCTCCAGGAGGCAGAGTCTAAGTGCCTGGTATTGATGCTCTAAGTGCCTGGTATTGATGAGGCAGAGTCTAAGTGCCTGGTATTGATGCTTCGGGAGGCAGAGTCTAAGTGCTGGTATTGATGCTCCGGGAGGCAGAGTAACTGCCTGGTATTGATGCTCTGGGAGGCAGAGTCTAACTGCCTGGTATTGATGCTCCAGGAGGCAGAGTCTAACTGCCTGGTATTGATGCTCCAGGAGGCAGAGTCTAACTGCCTGGTATTGATACTCCGGGAGGCAAAGTCTAACTGCCTGGTATTGATGCTCCAGGAGGCCGTGATGCTCCAGGAGGCCGTGTGATGCTCCAGGAGGCAGAGCCTAACTGCCTGGTATTGATGCTTTAGGAGGCAGAGGTGCTGAACTATATGCGATGGAACACCACGACCAGGGCTGGTACTGGTCAAGCCTGTCTTCACCTGTCTGTGGCCATCATAGAAACAGGTTCCCAACCAAGTGCTTGGCTAATCTAGATAGGATCTGTGTTACCTTAAGATTCAGAGCACATCTACCTGTGGGGATGAGGGACTAATAATCTGCACACAAATAAGCCAGGTCTGTAAAATGGATGTGGACACAGCACTCAAGTCCTGGAACATGATTAAAGTTCATAAGTGGATAGCATTGAGAACTTTCCACAGTTTTTACCACCTATGAACGAGAAGACGTCAAGATGCAGGGTATTCATCTTCTTATGAGTGAAAACATGGTATTTTGAAATGGGCTCCTAGATCAGCTCAATCAAAAATGAGTACCTGGAAAGCTGTTGGGAAATAAAGGCAGCTGACATGTTATTGGACATATCACCACCAGTGGAATGCTGATTGGTCTTTAAAAACATGTTAAGATAAATGTGTGTAGGAAAACAAAATCTTTATTTCTTGACAAGGGAAACAAATTCAACCTGTCTATATTCTTTCATTTATGCTGTTTTTGACTCAAATAGATTTTGTTTCACTCATAATTATATTATGTTTCAATATCTGTTTACAATATAAATTTAACTGTTTTTGCTCAGTGTTTTTATTTTACTTTAAAATGGTTTCAGCATAATCGCTTTTTGTCCTCATCCATATGTGATTTAAGTCCGAAATGGTGGAAAGGATTGTCAACCTTTAGAGGCTTTGCACCATATTTGCTTCTGGCAATGGTTCGCTGTTGTATATTCTCCCAAAAATAGACTAAAAAATGCGTTATTTCATCATTTGGCTACTGAGCTGAATGGATTTCATACATAATGCTTCTAATCTGTTCCCAAGGTGATTTATGGTGAGAACTGAAGATTTAGAAGAGGATGGTAGGCCAGGTTCTTCAGAGTTTGCGGTGCCTTATACACTATTGGGTGTAAAACTGCTGATTTGTTGCAACTACTGCTTCCATCAATGATAAACTGCTGTTCTAGTAGCAGAATGTGTGTGTTAGCACTTCCAGCCACTGCCGTATGCATTTAATGCATGTGTATGCTATTGCAGGTTAGCGGGGTAGGGGTATCCACTATCAAAAGAGAAGTTTCGCCTCCTGTTCCTCAATATACATTGGACACCCTTGGGCAAGGTTTCAGCATAGTACCCGTCTAGCCCCCCAATCAGGGTTACGTTCGGGCCATGGAAGCAGGTGGTGGAAGGTTTGTAAGAGCAGCCGAGGTATTGGCACCTTATGCTTCTGCACTCTGCGGCGATAGGCAGATGATCTCATCAGTAGAGACAATGCTATAATTTCACTCAGTATAGTCTACTGCTCAGGAGGAAACAACACTGCAAACTACCTTCTGCAAATTTTGCCAAGAATCCATAACAATCATAAAAGAAAACATAACACAGAAGAGAGGAAGAGGAAGGCCAAGGAGAAGATGGGTGCAGGATGTGGCAGATGATCTCCAGATGGGTGTATCAGACGCAGGATATCTTGCTCAGGATAGGAAGGTTTTCCGGAGGGTTGTTATGGCAGCGAGGTTCCGTGAGGGACATGCTACTGAATGAATGAATGTATGCTATTGGCTTTGCAAGGACTGCAGTCTCTTTCACTAGGGTCAGAGATGGAAGTTCTGTACGATTTTCACTGGCACAGGAACAGTGCAGTTATGGAATGACAAGTCTACCGTAAAGTTGGAACTGTGACTGACCAGCTAACATATCCCTGTATGTACATGTTTATCTCCTGCTCATTCAGGGACCTTCGTCTCAATCCAAAGATAGTGGACAGTGAGGTGGCAATACTGCAGGGGATTGCTGGCACAGATAAAAAGAGTCCTTTAGAGTATGTCAGATATTTTCGGTGAGTATCAGGTACAAACATGTGTAACATGTTTGAATGTTGACATTTGTTGATAATTACAACAGTTTATGACTGTTGGTCATTTGTCATTCTGCCCCCAGTAATTTGTCTGAATATTGTAACATATGATGTTGTTTTATGGAAAAAGAAATAGCGTAAGACAGTGCAAGAATATTCTTGACAGAGATTTTTCATGGCATAAAGGTGTGTCTGCACATGAACTGAAACATATTGTTGGAGACCACAAGTTGTGAAAAGGCAAGATTGGCAAGGCACATGAAGATGACCAAGATAATCATGAATCTTTCATGTTACATCAGTTCCTCCCTATGTGGTCCAGGGTCCATTAAACAGAAATTCACTGAAATCTGTTCTGTTGGACTATAACATGCAGATATCATAGTCTAGCTGTAAACCACAACACAACATGCAGCCATGCAAAAGAAGAAGACAACAGTTAATTACTATGGATCATTTGTCAATTTATCTCTGATATCCACTTAACTCTTTTAGTCCCACAAGGTTCTAGCTAATGTTTGAGGGAGTTAAAAATGGTAGAACTAAACTCATGGTTATACTACTTCCAGAGGGGCCAAATATACAACCCATGCAGGAAACAAACATTTGAGAGTTCTTTAGTCCCTCACTAAACTTGATGTGAAAACAGATATAACATGTTGATTGGTACACATTAATTATACCCAGTCAGGCATAGTGTGTTGTCTGGACAGAAATAGTTAAAGCTTGATAATTATTTATGTCTCCAGGACGAGATTATGTTTATGAAAATGGTTGCCGGGCATTTCCGTGGAGGCAGCTGCGAGGTGACATCTGTTACCTGGTTGTGAAATGTCCAGATATTGAACAGCCCATCTATGTGACGGCAAATACCAACGGTTACTATATCAACAGGGTCAGTTATGCAATAAGTACTTTATTTGTTGTTGCTGGCACCTTTCTGCCTTTCCTAATGATAGTATCATATTGAGCTATTGGGAGGCATGGGTGAGAAGTTCCTTCTCTCCATTACACAACTCCTGGGCAGTATTGTAGGAACCATATTTGCCCTTGCATCTTGACCTGCCTTATTTGCTTAAAGGAAAGATAACACCAGTACGTTTGGAACAGAGCAGGTTGCAGAAGCTGCCGAATCAGAAGGGCAGTGCTCTATCTGTCTACCTGTCAGAGCTTCCCTCCTAGACTAGCTACCAGCCCTCCTAGACCAGCTACCAGCCCTCCTAGACCAGCTGCCAGCCCTCCTAGACCAGCTACCAGCCCTCCTAGACCAGCTGCCAGCCCTCCTAGATCAGCTGCCAGCCCTCCTAGACCAGCTGCCAGCCCTCCTAGATCAGCTACCAGCCCTCCTAGACCAGCTGCCAGCCCTCCTAGACCAGCTACCAGCCCTCCTAGACCAGCTGCCAGCCAGGTCTAAGGGACTGGTCAGCCCTACTATAACATGAAGCTTCTAGGTTGCATTTCATCTTCCTAGGATAAGGTTAGTGTCCTCCCCAAATGCCTCCATCTGCAGCTGTTGCCACAACATGGGATGTCAGGTTTGGTATACTCCGCCAACATTTGGCATTAACAGAAGACAAATAATACCCGATACGGTTATACGGTAGCTCAGTCATATCTAACCATGACCTGACATAAAGGTACCTCATTTATTAGAATTATTTCTAGCTTTCTGCAATATATAAACTGATTTATAGCTTCATACGTCAATCAGGTGCTGTCTCCGTAGTGAATGTTGGCTGCAGTGACTCATGAAAATGCTCTGTGTTTCAGCATGGATGTACACTGTCTCAGACTGCTGTTTCTTCATCACTTGATGTTATCCGCCCACTTGTATCACTGTCTGCCTCTTGTTTGCTCACCTTTAATTTTTCCGTCTGTTGGCTGCTTTCCATCTTTTGGCAACTTTCCGTCTGTTGGCAACTTTCCGTCTTCTTCTCTTGGGTGCATCATGAGAAAGGAAAACACTGGAGTATGCCATGACTGTAGGCAGGAGAAGGAGAGGAGAGGCAGAGACAGCCAAGAGAGGTTTTGGAAAGTTTCTAAACTAACTCAGTTCAACTAATTGACTTGGCCAGAAGAGACTATCCTAAATTAGCTTTTATTGCTTCAGACCTTTTGAAGCAATATCTCAGTGGAAATTAACCTTCACATTTATAGCAGTATCCATTATGAAGTTAGCATGACCTTTGCTTTAACCTTTCCAATTTAAATGTTCAATAGGGAGTACAGGAAGGCAAACCAGATGACCTTGACTATGAGCCTGCGGATAACATCTCATACCAGAATCTGGTTGCTTTGCTCAAGGACAGGTCTCCACATTTTGCAGAAAATATCATGAAACAGGTATTGCTAGTCTGAATATTTGAGAAACAAATGTTTTCTCTATTGATACTGTGAGAATCCATTCTGACAGGCATAAGCTTAAAAGTCCTGAGCTCTGTATCACATTATGCATCATCTTTGCCTTGTTTGTCCAGGAAAAGGGAATGTATGTCAAATAAAAGGAAAAGAAATGGCCAAAAGGCATCTCTCCAACATGATAGTGTAAAGAAAGAAAAACTAAACATGACTGTAAATTAACAACATTCCAAATTCATGTGGAAAGGCTAATCAAGACTCCTGTATATAAAATGCATGTTAAGTAAATCTTCATCCCAAGGTAGAAGTGGACGGAAAGCCATAACTTTAAGCTGGAGTTTACAGCCAGTAAACACACAGAGAATGAAGAAGAAGAACTGAAGAGAGAAAACTTACAAAAAAGTTACAAGATACAATTGGGCTCATAGTAGAAAAATTATAACTTAAATGTGTAAGAATACCTCTTCTAAACAATGAAATAAAAGAGGACAGACTGTAAAATACCTGTAGCCTCAAAGACATAACCAAATAATGTATTCTTTGAACATGTAAACAAATATATTCTAAGTAAATCCTGTTTACACACATACAAACACATATACACATGCACACACACATACCCACCCGCTACCCACACACCTATGCTCACATTCGTCCACAAATGCATAAATACACACCTAGACTTGTGCATAAACATGCTCACATACATTGACGCACGTTTATACACACACTCACATATGGACATAATACATACAGAGTCTCACATGCATACACACACTCACATATGGACATAATACATACAGAGTCTCACATGCATACACACACTCACATATGGACATAATACATTGTCTCACATGCATACACACACTCACATATGGGCATAATACATACAGTCTCACATGCATACACACACTCACATATGGACATAATACATACAGTCTCACATGCATACACACACTCACATATGGGCATAATACATACAAAGTCTCACATGCATACACACACTCACATCCTCACATGCACACACATACACACCAATGCATGCTAACGTACATGCGCACACTTACTCCTAAACATGAACACATTTACACATGCTCACAGGGGGCTGGATGGTCTCGGGGTATGGTATCCGCCTTGAGTGCTGGAGGTCCTGGGTTCAAACGCTGGTGAAGGCTGGGATTTTTTCACGAGGACTTCTAGTAATTTCCCCAGGTCTCTGGGTAGTAAGATCAGACGCCCGAGTGTATTGTTGCGCATGTACAAAAGAATCCCTTGGCAGTTGGAAATTGAAAAGAGTAGCCTAACGGTACTGCCCGGGCAAAATTTGGAGTTAGAGATCTACCCAAAAAGTATTCCAGGATCCTCGCCGGTGCAACGGAGTTCGTGCACGGCACTGAGATCTTCAGACTCAGACTTGAGATAGAGTTAAAACGGAGCACTTATGGGTTTACACCCTTGTGCCATGATGCTGATTCGTGGACTAAACTGAACACATGCTCACAAACATCAACACTCGCTTATACACACTCCCACACAAGCTTCCATACAATGACACATGCACACACTCATACCTACACATCCTTACACCCACACAGGCTCACACCTACACTAACACATGCTCAGATACATTGACTACATACATCAGATGAGTTGGGCTCAAAGATGCCTTACTGTAAACCATAAAAAACCATACTAAAGGTGTGTACAAAGAAGAAGGGCAATCAATGTTTTCTTTTTTTTAAAGTTGGTAATAAAGAAAGATAAAGGTAATTAATAAAGCTCCAAGTAATGATGGAAGCTCTAATCAATAAATAAACCTCTGTAACCTGACAAAAGCTCTAACTAGTAAATCAGTCTGTGAGTAATAAATGAAACAGATCCAGGGTATAAATGAAGCTCCAGGTAAATTACAAAAAAGATCTGACTGATGAAATTATGATCTATCCAGTGAGTTTATGGCAAGATCCCCATCCCCCCCCCCCCAGGATATTGCATGACCCCCACAACCCTTTTGAGTATATGGCAAGATCCCCATGCCCCCCCCCCTCCCAGGATATTGCTAGACCCCCACAACCCTTTTGAGTATATGGCAAGATCCCTATCCCACCTCCCAGGATATTGCAAGACCCACACAACCCCTTTGAGTATATGGCAAGATCCCCATCCCACCTCCCAGGATATTGCAAGACCCCCACAACCCCTTTGAGTATATGGCAAGATCCCCATCCCACCTCCCAGGATATTGCAAGACCCCCACAACCCCTTTGAGTATATGGCAAGATCCCCATGCCCCCCCCCCCTCCCCCGCTCCCTAGGATATTGCATGACCCCCACAACCCCTTTGAGTACATGGCAAGACCCCTACGCCCTCCCCCCCCCAACCCAGTATTAAAAGATCTGATTAAAAAGAGAATAATAGATTCAGCAGCAGGGAAAACAGACAGTAAGAAGATAAGTTTTGCTCAGAATGTGTTCTAATCCATAACTAAATTGCTTTATTATCATATTAATTAGATTTACTGTCGATATATGAACTGTTTATGAAAACAACAAATGCCCTTAGATTTTTATTTTATAGATAGTTTTTACAAATATTTTGTTATTATATTTATAATTAAACTGAAAAAATAATAAAATGGATTATCACTGTACTAGGGTGGAGAAAGCCCATAGTACTAAGATAAAAAAGGAAAGAAGTTTGTTAGGTGGGGACTAGAAACAAGAATATTCTAGTCCAGGCAAGAGATCTTCTGTGTAAAGTCTTATATAGTCCAGGGCACGAGTAAACTAATAAACTATCTAGGAGTCCTAAGCTGAAGGAAACAACTGTAACTATGAATACAACGTTGAACATAATTTTATTGAACTTCACATCAGCATGGCCAAAAAGTAACGACATAAACGACCACGTGCTGGAACAAAACCTCAAATATACAGCAATCTACCATTTAACTATTTCTTGGCAAGAATGCAAATGACAATTATTATTGAATCTAACCAAAGAAACGTACCATACCGAGCCGATCCAATCTAGCGACGCCCAGCCATTCGATCTGACACACCTGTACATTCTGTACGTTGCGACCAAGTGCAGTCGACAACGACAACAGGGCGTTTTGACCGTAACAAGCCGGAGCGACCACCAGATAGGAGAAGGGCCAAATAAATCAGTCGGCCGTTTAAATACCCTGTGGGCTGATTTTTCCCCATTTTCCGCCTGACTATTAACTGCCAATGTTTATCCTATTTGCCGGTTGGCATTTTCAAACCAGGATAAACCTTCAAAGACCTTTAATCTGTTGTACTGCAGTCTTCGTCGCTTCCACCCCGTTACATCACAAATACAAATGCTCACTTTCGAAATTTCTTGAAACCTCTTCGGGCCCGTCTAGGGGGCAGAGGTTGGAGATTACTGATCTAGTCAATGAGGTTATTTCATTCCATTAAGACAGTACTGGCACATATGTGCAAACAAAATGTTATTCCATGTATGTAAACTTTCATACGTGACACATGTACATATTATGAATTTCATATGGGTAAACATACATATGTTCAGGAGTTCAAAGTAAAACATCGCAAAGAGAAAGATTCCGGTTTTCTGGAGGCTAAAAGCAGCAAAGATAGTGATAAAGAGGGAAGTATAGACAGATCCAGCAGATCTGACTACTTTTCCAAGCAGCAGACAGACCAGCATCCAAAGACAGACAAAAAGCAGAAAGTACAGACAAAGACAAAGCTGGAGCCATCTTTAAAGTGGAAAAGTCTGGCCATTGAGGAAAAGGATCATGAAAAGTAGGAGCAGCTGCCCATAAATAGTGGGACATTGACTGTAGCACACGCTAGAGCTGCTTTCTAATATATTATCTGTTTGCTTGATATTGTAGCACGTTGCTTACTTTGCTGAAAAGTTAGTGTTGCAGAAAGCAGAGTTTGATGTTGACATAACATTTGATTAGAGTTCCCTGCAGCATGCATAATACTGAAGTATAGCACACTTTTCTGATGATGCACATATAACTCTGTCAGTATAGCACACTTCTCTGATAATGCACATATAGCACTGTCAGTTTAACACGCTTCTCTGATAATGCACATATAGCACTGTTAGTATAGCACACTTCTCAGATGATGCACATATAGCACTGTCAGTGTAGGACACTTCTCTGCTGCACACATAACAATGTCAGTATGGCACATGTCTTGGCTATACACATAGCATAATATAGCATATACTTAGCATTGACTGTAGCACATATCTTGGTAGCATAGAAACAGTGTCAGCCTAGCACATTGTGAGGCTTTCGGCAGACATTAACCACCTACTGCACAAAGTTAAACACGACACAAAATGAATGAGTCTCAAAAGATGCCGCTCCTGGATGGCCCAAGCTGAAGATTTCATCCAGCAGCTATGTGACCTAGATAAGATCAGTCACGGAAAGGAATGGACGAATACACCAGTAGACATGCACGGCATCTCTAAAGCTGTCATCACACTGAGAATGTACTACGGGGATTTGATTCCTGTGGTCGTAGACACAGAGCTAAGGGCACTGATAGATCAGCATTGAGACCCAGAAGACATCATCATCTACACAAATGGATCCGTGAAGCGTGGATCAAAGTCAGCTTGGGCACACACACTGCAAAGGAGGAGGAAAATACAGGAGGACAGAGGCACTTACCAGGCTACCACGTCAAGTATGACCATGGAGATAGCCACTGCTTCTAGAGCACTTGCAGGGGTATTTGAGTAAACCATCACACAGGCAGTTATTGTATCAGACTCCTTGAACATGCTTCAGGAGATAACAACAGGCAGTGTGCGTTCTGAATGGGTAGAAAGCGTCTGAAAATCCTCCTCACCTGGATCTACACACCTGGTCATGCAGGTGTAAAGGGCAATGAGTGAGCAGACCAACTGGCAAGCAGTGCACCAATGCATGTGGGAAAAAGCATGGACAGAGCAGATATCGTCAACGCTGTACGGACTGAGCAAGTGGATAATGATGAATCTCTGACACTATCATGATTGCATGACATTGGAGTAAAGCATGGTGAAGCACGTCTATGCTGCCTTCAAGGCCGAGAAAGGAGACAATATAACCAACTTCTCATGGGAACAGTTAGTAGACATACCTTGGAGTGGCTACTGCCTTGGAGGACTGAGCACCCATGGAAAATATTCAATGTGCAGTGACATCGATTGTGATAACAAAGCATAACAAGTTTGAAGAACGCCAGGTCTAAAAGTTTTACAATTTTTTTAAATAGCAACATATGAGATCGTTTGATCATCTGACAAGAATGTTGGTACTAACTGTTACAGAGAGCCAAGCTGAAAACACAATAAACACAGAGCAAGAGAGGAAGATAATGATAATAATAATAATTCTAAGAAGAAGAAGAAGAAGACATGCAAATCTCACTGTACCATTTCATTAGCACACACTGTAGAACAGTTCTGCCCTGGCCACCTGAGAATGTCAGTATAGCAGGCCTTCTTGCAGCAGCAGTTGCAAAAACCTCATTGGAATGTTCCGAAATTAATTACTTTATAGCTTTGCTTCATGCTGCTTTGCTTGCTATGCTTTTTTTTTTTTAGCAATAAGTTTTTTTAAATCTCTAAATATTGTTCGCATCGCTTGATTTTATGTTGTAGTCTTATGTTTATATTTTTTTTTTTAAAGTACAAGATTCCTCTAATGCCATTAGTGCATGGGGTATATAGTAAAGAGTTATCATGAGTTAAGTATCAACACTCAGGACATTCCCATAAGCAGTCTGTCCCCATCTTCAGCAGCTAGAATAAAGTTCCTGTTCTGATGAAACCAGTAGCAGTCTGTGCGTGCCTCTTGTCTGTCTCCTGATTGTTGAGTGTTGGTTAAAAAGTATTGGTAGTAAAAGACCTTTTTTTCTGTCATTGTCTCCCTGGTTCTAGGGCCACATTTGGGGGGGGGGGAGGATTGGACCCACAGCCCCCTCCCCAACCCCCAACAAGCATGCCATAAATGGTGACTAATTAGGGTATTTTCTTTGATGTCAGAGTGCATCTGCCTGAGAAGAGGAACCAACAGTCTGCATGCAAGTAAGCCAGATGTGTAAAACTCAAGTTCTGGAACAAGGCTTAAATCTAGAAGTGGACAAACAACCAGAACTTTCTGCCAGAGTTTACATCTGGTGAACATGAAGACGAAGATGCAACTGTTGCATCAAAGATATGATGTTAGGCACATGTTTTTATAGACAAACTGGCAGTCAAAAGATGTGGTTGACATAATGATGACTTCCCAGAACATTTCCTAATACCGATTTTGGGCTGGCTGAATCTGGGGCCTAGGTTAAAGATGATTAAATGAGGTTACATTTTTTTATTTTGGTTAAACAAGTGACATAGAATAAAAAATAATTTGATCATAAGTTTTTTCTCAGCCTAAATAACTTTAGCTTACTCGTGTAGTAAAAATTATACAAATCTACAAACAATTTTAAAAGATGTGAATTCAATTTGATCCTGATAGACTGGCATTCAGAAATAAAGTGACTGTTTTAGTCACTGGGTGTACATTTTTTCAGGTTTCAGTCCTAGGAAGAAATTAAAACTGAGAAAACCTCAAACGTACACATCTAGACCTGAGAGGGCATCCTGTACTTTTTACAATGTTTTGTTTTTATTTTACTAATTGTGTAACTACCTTGTTCTGTTACAACATTTCTGTTGCTGTTGACAATAAACAAGGAATCAATGGAACATTTAGTCAGAGCTGGAATGAGCTTGTCAAGTTTGGACACGAAGATGCCACATTTTCGGCGCCACAAATGGATGTAAATACTTTGTTTTACTTCCTATTTAGTCAAAACCAAAATTAACAATTGTTCATAATGGTGAATCCCCCCCCCCCCCCCCCCTTTTTTTTTCCCCCCTCTCACACACACGCACACACACACATGCAGACACTCACACACCCTGTAGACAATTGCTTGTAAAAAATATCTTCGCTGATCTGCCATTTGGTGAACTGTCTTTAAATTAACTCTGTTATAAAGTATCCTTAACAGCAATCCCTCTTGTTTTGTCTTTATTTAGCTTATTCAGTACCAAGTAACTCACCATGAATTTGTTTTGGGATTCCTTAAATTTTACATTTGTCCTTAACTCTTCATGCCACATAAAGTTATTACACTACCATGCCTGCTCTGTTTGTTACTTGAACTCCTCATTTAAAGCACTAATAATTTATATAATTTTGGCCCACTATTTATTATTTAAAGTAGAGACTGTCTAGGAGAGAATGGGCTCTTATATCTGCATGGTACTGAAAGATTTAAACAGCATGAATACATTAACTAATGTCATATAATTATAACAATTAACTCATCAAAATGTTGGGAGGAGATGTAAGAATCTTTCCAGTGCTCTTTCTGATGCATTGTGTAAGGGGATCTTCATTTTTTAAAAATTGTTTTTAATGCCATTCTTTCAACTTTCACATGATCCTTCCCTTGCTCTGTGTTCATTGTATTTGTTGAGCATGACTCCCTATGGTTGTTGTTACAAGGGTATTCTCATAAGATGGCAAGCCATCTCATATGTTACTGCCTGATGAACTGTATGACTGGTTTCAGTCCTAGTCTTCTTCTAGTTTCTTCATATTTTTTTTCTTAAATTGCATATCTTCAGCAGCTCTTTAAGAGATCTAATCTGATTTATGATTCAGAACTCATTATTTTTAGTATGAGTTCAAGTTTGACACCGGTGGCATAATATTGCTTGAAAAAATAGTTCTCAGTAGATTTGCCCTTAGTAGCCAAATTTATCTTTCTATTTGTCAAAAGTTGTGTTAATTGTATCAGTATTTGATTTGCTTTTGTACATTGTATGTTGATTTGTCTGTTCATTCTTTCTTTAAAATGGAAAATTCGCCGCCTTAGATATTTAAATTGTCCTGTTTATTTTATCACCGTGTTATTTACATTTTAGTCAACATACTTACATAAAAAGTATTTCTAACATATATTCTGTTGGTTAGCCATACCTTATTAACATAAATAAATGCAATTTTTTGGGGTGGGGGGGGGGGGGGGGGCAATAATTGTAATAATTTACTTAATTGGTATGTCACACTGTGTAGCAATTTATTATTTCAAGCAATAATAATATGTGTCTCACATGCTTTAATAAATATTTATAAATTAACTCAGGTGATAAATCTAATCGTGACAGACTTGTGAGATTGAGATAACCATTCTTTGCAAACTGACAGCTACATTGACTAGACGCTTGCCTTTCTGCCCAAAGGTCTGAGTTTCAAATCTACACCAGGACAGTATTTTATTTAAAAACTGACTTTAAAAAATATCATGGAAAGTGAAATAAGCTGACTAAGTGATGTTAACCTCATTGCCCCTCAAGTGCCAGTTGGTGTGTAAACATTAGTCCTGCATAATATTCCTGTTGCGCCATTGGTGTGCAACTTTACTTTTTTTATAACATTTTTTTTTAAACTTTCATTCTTTGCAAACACAACATCCTTCTTGATTTCTGTTTAATACTACTGTGTTATTTTGATTACACTACTGCTAAGTTCTTTGTTAGTGTTTTAATTTGTTGCTTTAAAATTAATTCTTTTTTTTAAAAAGTAATTACAAATGTTCGTTTGAAGTTAAGTGTACAGCTTTTCAAATCTTTGACCCAAAGACTTGGGACAATAGCTAGTCCTACATGGACAATAATTACTGGATGTAAATTTGCCTTGAAAAATCACAACAACCAAAAAATTCTGGGGTTGGTTCTTCAAAGTCCTGTAAAGGATATATAACTAACTTTAACATGGACAATACCTAGTTCTCCATGGACGGTAGACAGTTCTCCATGGAGAGTAACTAATTCTCCATAGACAGTCGCTAGTTCTGACTCAACAGTTGTTAATTCTCCATGCGGTAGCTATTTCTCCATTGACTGTAGTTAGTTTTCCATGGACAGTGGCTAGTTCCCCATGGACAGTGGCTAGTTCTCCATGGACATAACTAGTTCTCCATGGACAGTGGCAAGTTCTCCATGAACATAACTAGTTCTCCATGGACATTAGCTAGGTCTCCATGGACAGTAGTTAGTTCTCCATGGACATAACTAGTTCTCCATGGACATTGGCTAGTTCTCCATCAACATAACTAGTTCTCCATGGACATTGGCTAGGTCTCCATCAACATAACTAGTTCTCCATGGACATTGGCTAGTTCTCCATCAACATAACTAGTTCTCCATGGACATTGGCTAGTTCTCCATCTACATAACTAGTTCTCCATGGACATTGGCTAGTTCTCCATCAACATAACTAGTTCTCCATGGACATTGGCTAGTTCTCCATCAACATAACTAGTTCTCCATGGACATTGGCTAGTTCTCCATCAACATAACTAGTTCTCCATGGACATTGGCTAGTTCTCCATCAACAAAACTAGTTCTCCATGGACATTAGCTAGGTCTCCATCAACATAACTAGTTCTCCATGGACATTAGCTAGTTCTCCATCAACATAACTAGTTCTCCATGGACATTGGCTAGTTCTCCATCAACAAAACTAGTTCTCCATGGACATTAGCTAGGTCTCCATCAACATAACTAGTTCTCCATGGACATTGGCTAGTTCTCCATCAACATAACTAGTTCTCCATGGACATTGGCTAGTTCTCCATCAACATAACTAGTTCTCCATGGACATTAGCTAGGTCTCCATCTACAGTTGTTAGTTTTCCATGGACATAACTAGTTCTCCATGGACATTGGCTAGTTCTCCATCAACATAACTAGTTCTCCATGGACATTAGCTAGGTCTCCATCAACATAACTAGTTCTCCATGGACATTGGCTAGTTCTCCATCAACATAACTAGTTCTCCATGGACATTGGCTAGTTCTCCATCAACATAACTAGTTCTCCATGGACATTGGCTAGTTCTCCATCAACATAACTAGTTCTCCATGGACATTGGCTAGTTCTCCATCAACATAACTAGTTCTCCATGGACATTGGCTAGTTCTCCATCAACATAACTAGTTCTCCATGGACATTGGCTAGTTCTCCATCATTATAACTAGTTCTCCATGGACATTAGCTAGGTCTCCATCAACATAACTAGTTCTCCATGGACATTAGCTAGGTCTCCATCAACATAACTAGTTCTCCATGGACATTGGCTAGTTCTCCATCAACATAACTAGTTCTCCATGGACATTAGCTAGGTCTCCATGGACAGTAGTTAGTTCTCCATGGACATTAGCTAGGTCTCCATGGACAGTAGTTAGTTCTCCATGGACATAACTAGTTCTCCATGGACATTGGCTAGTTCTCCATCAACATAACTAGTTATCCATGGACATTGGCTAGTTCTCCATCAACATAACTAGTTCTCCATGGACAGTGGCTAGTTCTCCATGAACATAACTAGTTTTCCATGGACATTAGCTACTTCTCCATGGACAGTAGTTAGTTCTCCATGGACATAACTAGTTCTCCATGGACATTGACTAGTTCTCCATCAACATAACTAGTTCTCCATGGACATTGGCTAGTTCTCCATCAACATAACTAGTTCTCCATGGACATTGGCTAGTTCTCCATCAACATAACTAGTTATCCATGGACATTGGCTAGTTCTCCATCAACATAACTAGTTCCTTTATGGACATTAGCTAGTTCTCCATGGACAGTAGTTAGTTCTCCATGGAAAGTAGTTTGTTTTCCATTGACAGTAGCTAGCTCTGCATGGACAGTAGCTAGTTCTTATGGACAGTAGCTAATTCTCCATGGTAAGTAGATAACTCTCCATATACAGTAGCTAGGTCTCCATGGAGAGAAGCTTGGACAATAGTTAGTTCTGCATGAACAGTAGTTAGCTTTCCATGGACAGTAGCTAGCCCTACATGAACAGTAGGTAGTTCAGTATGGACAGTAGCTAGTTCTGCATGGACCGTAGCTAGTTCTGCATGGACAGTAGTTTATTCTGCATAGATGATAGCTAGTTCTTTATGGACAGTCGCTAGTTCTCTATGGACAGTAGCTAGTTCTCCATGGACATAACTAGTTATCCATTGACAGTAGCTAGGTCTACATGGACAGTAGCTAGTTCTGCATGGACAGTAGTTAGTTCTGCATGGACAGCAGTTTATTCTGTATAGACAATAGCTAGCTCTACATGAACAGTAGGTTGTTCTGCATGGACAGTAGCTAGTTCTTCATGGACAGTAGCTAGTTCTTCATGGACAGTAGCTAGTTCTGCATGGACAGTAGTTTATTCTGCATAGATGATAGCTAGTTCTCTATGGATAGTCGCTAGTTCTCTATGGACAGTAGCTAGTTCTCCATGGACATAGCTAGTTATCCATTGACAGTAGCTAGTTCTACATGGACAGTAGCTGCTTCTCAATGGATGGTAGCTAGTTCAGCATAGACAGTAGCTTGTTCTACACATAAAGTAGTTTACCATAATTGTCACATCATACTGTCACAATTTGCTGCATCAAGCTGCTGTTATTAGCTACATCATACTGTCATTGTGTGCTATATTATACTGTCATTATTTACTATATCATACTGTCATTTTTTATAACTTTATACTGCCATTTTGTGTCTCATCATACTGCACTGAAACCTTATTACAAAACCTCTAAGAGACACACACACAAAAACAAGAGCTTGCGTCATCAAAATTGTGTGCCAGCCAGGGACAAATCGATGTATTAGGAGTGTTTGCCTTAAGCAATTTTGTGTTATGAGGTTTCACTGTATAATTATTTGTTGTATTATGCTGTCATTATTTGCAATGTTATGGTGCCAACATTTGCTACAGCATAGGGTTATGTCATCATTCTGCCATTACTCATTGTTTCCAGGCTGCAGCTGCATCAGAACAAGTTGTCACAGGTCTCTGTATTGTCTGAGGGGTAAGTGCAATTCATCAGCTATGTACGGGCTGTTCTTCTTAGTCTGACATGTTTTTCTAATAAGTAAGTCATAGTGCCATAGACGTAGTTGAGGTTTCCGCTTCATTGTAATCAAGCTACCCCACACTTGCTCTGTTCCTGTGCCAGTGAAAATGAAATAAAATGTATTGTGCTGTCCCATTGGAAAAGCTGGTGAACAAACAATTATTCCCGGCACAATCCAGAAATAAGTGCATGCAGTAAATGCATATGGCAGTTGCTAGAGACGCTAAAGCCAACTGTCGCCACCAGAAATGCAGTTTGTCATTAATGGAAGTAGTCAATTACAAAAGGTTGGCTATACACACGTAAAATTATTACATAAGATATATCGCCAGCCCACAGGTAAATCAGCTACCGGCCATATTGAATACCATGACTGAAAAACTCCACAAATGAAAGGCATTCCACATGAAAAATAACACAGCTCACAGTGCTGCCCCAAGCACTAAACTATTTTTGTACTCTAGCTAAACATTCTGCCATGCCTGGTCCTCCATATTGGGGCCTTCAGTCTAGTAAGTAGTCTTCTTAAAGTCTGTGCCATGTGACATTGGTAGTCATGTCTATCCACAACCTTCTGCCTCATGTACTTTCAGTCAGCTCTGATACAGATGATCCTCCATGACATAATGTCAAACTTTCCACCATCTTCTCTATCTGTCTTCCTCTGCCTCTCCTCTTCTCCATATTTCCTACCGTCACGATATACTCCAGTTGTCTCCTTTTTGTCACATGATCACAGAAAGTAGTTTGTCTCGTTTTGATGTGGGTGATGAGTTCTCTTCGTGAGTCAGTTTATTTCAAGTCATTTTCATTACTCTTCTTATCTCTCCAGGATATTCTCATTATTCATCTGTGAAACCACATCACGGCTTCCAAATAATTTTTACTAATCAAACAACTGTCAATGCTTCACTTCTGTTTATCAAAAGGGGTTTTATAAAGCTTTTAAGAAATCTCTTTCTTGATTCAATTGACAAAGAAAAGGGAAATAAAATATTCTTCATTTTGTAAAATGCCTCTTTGCTTGTGCTTTTGTACATATAACATCTTCAGTACATCTGTCATCTGATGTTATCAGAGTATGGTATTCAAATACTTAAACAGTTTGAGGTTTATCCCATTTTGATTTTGCATTTTGGAGATCTGTTTTCCCAGAGTGCCAGCTATGTAACTACCCCTACGAAACTGTTGAACACCATCTCTTTGAGTGCCCAGAACTCAGTGAGACAAGAAGAACGCTACTCCCTCCGAGACCAGACAAGTGGAACACCTTGTACGGAGGAAAAGAACAGCTTGTGAAAACATGCAAATTCCACTACATGGCATTGGGCCAAAGGGCGAAAGCTCATGCGCTGCTGGATCGATAACAACAACAACAACTTTGCAATTACCAATACTTCTGTTTTTCTGCTGTACAAACTAAGACCCATATTTTCAGTTCAAGTTAGTAAGTAGAGTTAAGGAACCTTTTATAAACCAGTGGTGTTAGTAAGTAGAGTTAAGGAACCTTTTTCCACCACTGGTGTTAGTAAGTAGAGTTAAGGAACCTTTTTACACCACTGGTGTTAGTAAGTAGAGTTTAGGAACCTTTTTACACCACTGGCATTAGTAAGCAGAGTTAAGGAACCTTTTTACACCACTGGCGTTAGTAAGTAGAGTTAAGGAACCTTTTTACACCACTGGTGTTAGTAAGTAGAGTTAAGGAACCTTTTTACACCACTGGTGTTAGTAAGCAGAGTTAAGGAACCTTTTTACACCACTGGCGTTAGTAAGTAGAGTTAAGGAATCTTTTTACACCAGTGGTGCATTAGGAATATGATGCAAGAGCCATATTTTTTATTGACCAGTCGGCACTCAGTGGGCCAGCTGCCTTTATTTCCCAGGACTTTCTCTGCTAACCTTTAAGCCTGGGTTGACCTTGGAAGCCATGGTCATCTTTCAAAAAAAAAAAGTCTGACTTGATGCACATTGGAAGTCTTTTCTGGCTTCCTTGTGGTTTAGACTCAAGTGTTATTTTAACATCTACATAATAGTTGTTGAACCAAAAATCGCTAACACAAATTTTATATGTATAACATCTAGCTGGATCTGCAATATTTTGTGCATGCAGTAATAGTACACATTAAGTAACTATGAGTCAAATAGTCAGAAAACAAAAATTGTGGTCATCACTAAAAAAGAAGAGCTGTGGTATGAAATTCAGGCTAATGTGGAAATTCTCAAGCAAATGAATCAAGAAAACTATTTTGAACAGTAAAAGCATTAAACACAAGATATATTCAGAACAAGAAATTAGAATTAGAACACGAATCACCATAGTAAAAATGGCTTTAGCAAGATACAAAATAAAATAAAATAAAAAGATGTCAAATGCAGTGAGAAAAAAGAGTGTTTTAAAGTTTTATATAGAACATGTGTGGTTATGTGCATGTGACACAAGCAGACAAACAGCTGCAGGTATTGGAGATGGGATTTTTGTAAAGAAGATCTTGAAATGATAAAAATAAGATGGTCTTACTTCGAGACAGATAAAAATGTAAACTGGTTACAGAAATTAGACGGAGTTTTTTAGACATGTTATTAGAAGGAATATATGCAAGAACTTTCTGGACAACTAACAAGATTGATGTAAACAAAGTAAGAGGAAGGCAGTAAGACAAATACATGGATGGCTTGGCCACATAGATGGGGCAACACAAAAGCACAGACCTGATCATGATTCTGTTTATTATGTGAGGTGGCACATAATGATGATAATAGCCACTTCAGCTCATATTGGCATGAAATTGGCTACGTCACCCATCTTTTGTTGAATGTACTGTAACAATACGAGTCCAGCATCAAATATTCAGTATACCAATGACATGAAAAGGGTCCTTACTTTTTTTTTATAAGCTTTTATTAGGTTAGTTTTTGTTTGTTTGTCTGGTACCATTTTTGTATTCAATGTTTATTTTAATGTTTGTACTTATTTACTTAGCTCATGTCAACATCATGAGCTCACTGTTCCTGGTTGTCTTTCAGCAATCAGAAAAAAATTAGGATCTCAGCGGCAGATGCTGACGAGCCTTTTAGTGAGAGCTCTTCTGAAAGTGACGATGAGGAGGAGGCTGTCGACAGGAGACCCGAAGGGAATGCTGATCTTCCCACTGAATACTGGCAGATACAGAAGCTTGTCAAGTATCTAAAGGTGGGCTGCACATGCTCATCTGTCTAACTATAATATACTCATCTCAGTTCTGTCTGTAATCTGTTCAGTTTATTTCTACCTGTAATTCATCCATCTAAGTTATATCTGGAATCTACTCATCTGCTTCCTCTCTTTAATTTATTCATTTGTAATCTACTCATCTCAGTTCTGTATGTAATCTGTTTAGCTTTTGTCCTAACTGTAAGTTACCTTCCTAAGTTTGATCCGTAAACTTCTTATCATAGCCCTCTATGTAATCCACTCATCTCAGTTCTGTATGTAATCTGTTTAGCTTTTGTTCTAACTGTAAGTTACCTTTCTAAGTTTGATCCGTAAACTTCTTATCATAGCCCTCTATGTAATCTACTCATCCAAGTTCTATCTGTAATCTATAGATGATAAACATATTTGGTATTGTCCAGTTGTTGGAATTTCATTTGTGTAATTAACGACCTTTGACTCGACTTAGGCTTTGTCCAGCCACTAGTAAACTGACCTGTGGCTTCAATGACTTGGTACGACTAGTTCTTTATGACTGGCCACTGTGAGATTTGGTGATGATTGTCACAATTTATTACGTCTTTATATAAAACAGAACAGAATAGATTCATCATCATCATCAGGTGCCTTGCCGAGTGGCGTGGGCGATCATGCCTCTCCATAATCCGCGATCTCCTGCAGCATGTATCAGTTCGTGTGCCGACACACCTCCATGCCATGCAACAAGACTGTCAAGCATCTTCTCTCGTTGTCTTCCTCTATCCCTCCTTCCACAGATCTTTCCAGTGGTCACAACATGTTCTATTTTCCCTCTTCTCATAACATGGCCGAAAAATGATGACTGTCTCCTTCTGATGTCAGTGATAAGTTGTCTTCGGTCTCCCGCCTCTTTTAAAACCTCTTGGTTGCTCTTTTTGGCTGTCCAAGGTATTCTAAGCATTCTTCTGTAAAACCACATCTCTGAGGCCTCCAAAAATTGTTTGGCCTGCCTACCGATTGTCCAGGATTCACATCCATATGTTAAAACTGGATGTATGTAGCAAGCAAGAATTCTTTTTCTAACTCTCAATGACAAGGATATATTGCACAAGATGTTTTTCATTTTATAAAATGCAGTTTTTGCCTGTCCAATTCTGTTTCTTATTTCAGTTATGCATCTTCCATCTGATGTTATCCATGTGCCCAGATACTTAAATTTCTGTACTTGTTATTGAGAGGAGGCGAGTTAGTTGGTGGGACAGCTAACTCTATAAAATACCTCAAAACTCTACGACATGGCCATCGGCGGGTAAGAGGCGCCATAACCTCTCCCCCCTGCTGCCTTGCAGGGTAAGTCTTTTTAGACAAAGGCTATTGGAGTCAAACCATATACAAACCGGCGGAAGGCAAGGGGAAACCACCGCTGTACCATCCCAAGAAAATCATGCCTCAAAATCAGAATAGATTATGTTTCAGTTTATCTAACAATTGTTGGTTCTTTCGATATTATAACAGACTAACTGTTTAATCCAATAAGGATTATCCCGTGCATGCCTTGCCTTGCAAATGACTTGAGACATGATGGGACTTGACTTGGGACCTGGCTGGGACGGATTCTTAATGACTTAAGTCTTGACTTAGTAATTAGCGGTAGTGACTTGGGACCTGGCTGGGACGGATTCTTGATGACTTAAGTCTTGACTTGGTAATTAGTGGTAGTGACTTGGGACTCGGCTTTGACAGATTCTTGATGACTTAAGTCTTGACTTGGTAATTAGTGGTAGTGTCTTGGGACTCAACTGGGACGGATTTTCTGGTGACTTCAGACTTGACTTGGGACTTAGTGGTAGTGATTCGGGACTCGACTTGGAACTAAATCCAACCTCTGGTACTGTCCCAAACATTATCAGCATCTCTCTGTCTACTCATCTGAGTCCTTTGTAAAAAAAATACTCATCTGAATTTTATCTGTAATCTGTTTCAATACAGAAAACTGTCAGTATTGTATCCCAGATTGTGCAGCATAAAGATGGAATTATGATTCAAATTTCCCTGTGACTCAGGATGATCAGCAGGCAATCTTCAACAATTATAGGGATAAGGAAGGACCCCTGCTATTTTGTTTGCTCATCATATTAATTAGCAGTCACTGAATTTATGACTCTGTATACAGTCATCACATCTGTGCTATACACAACTTTAAAGTAATGATAAATGTGAAATAATAGTCAACAATTATTCTCCAGGGTGGTAACCAAACAGCAACCATCATTGCTCTGTGCTCTCTGCGAGACTTTAACCTGTTACAGGAGACATGCCAGCTGGCAATACGAGATGTTGGTGGTCTGGAGGTTCTCATCAACCTGCTGGACACCGAGGAGGTCAAATGCAAGGTGAGATCTAAGGTCATGGGGCCCTTGCCCATTTCTCTTTCTGTAGCATTTCTTTGTTTACTTGATTTCTCCACTTCACCTTACAGTGTTAAATCTTTGATTTTTCTATCTCCTTCCAGAAGATGACTTATGATCCATATTATCAATCCTAGGAGAGAGTTGAAATTGATAAATCTTGGTCTAAATGTGCTAACTGGAATTTGAGTTTGAGTAGTGTCCCCTTTGTAGAAACAATGTATCTAATTCTTAGTTTAGCTGTTGCACTATCGCTTGATCGTTTTGGATTGTATACAAACAGCAGTAGTTGAATGGGCTTCATACCCACAAGAATACAAAAACATGTTGTTTATTTTGTCTCTTTGAATACAATCCAGATGCAACATTGTAGGAACAGAGATAAGAGTCTTCGGAGAACTGCTGGAGTGACAAGAAGAGATCAGATTAAAAATGATAACAATTAGAAGAAGACTAGGGCTGTTACTAGACACACAGTTTGTAATGGGGGATATTTTCACCCTGATTAGGAAGGTTGGGGGTCATTAGACACATCATCTCCTAGACAACAAGCCCAAGGTCAGAACACTACTTACTGCAAGCAGAAGATGCCTTATTGCACAGTTAATTAAAAAGCAACGGATGAGATAGTTTGGCCATCTGATGAGAATGCCATGGTATCAATTGCCAAAGAAAGCCAGGCCAAAGAAATGTAAGTATAGAACATGAAGACAACCATGCAAATAATGGAACGATGACATTAAAAGAATAGCCCTAAATAAATTGAGATCAAATTATTCAACACAATAGAAAGGGCACGCAGGAGATCCTCACATCTCCCACCTGCACAGAAGGAAGAGAAGAAGACGAAAGAAATACTGAGGTCACATCAATGGTCTTTTTAATATCATCTTTATTTTTGTCTCATTTAGTGAAGTCAACAGATTTTCTCAAGCATTTAAATTCACAACAGTTTCTAAACGGGAATTTGCTTCATAATTACATAATTCATGTATTATTATTATTAATTACTGTTACGTTGTTTTTAATTCTTTAGTTCTATAGTTCTTTATTATACTGTGTCTTCATTGGTTTTCACTACTTAATTATACTGTGTCTTTATTGGTTTTCACTACTTATTATGCTTTTTCTATAGTTTTTCTCTATTAGATCACATTTCCATCTGCTATTCACTACTTAATATTTCCCTGTTAGATCATGATTTCATCACAACTTTATCAGTCTTGATTTCTTCCCTGTTATGTCACATCTCCATTAGTTCTTCACTATTTATCATGTCTTTATTAGTTCTTTATTATTGTGTAAGGTCTTCATGAGTTATTTCTGCTATATTGTCACTTTATAAGGTCTTTAGTAATATAACATCTTCATTTGTTTTTCACTGTTATGTCATGATTTTATTAGTTCTTCACTATTATAGCATGTCTTCGTTTCTTCTTTACCCTTTACTTCATTTTTTAATTAGTTCTTCACTGTATTATCATGTCTTCATTAGTTTTTCACTGTATCACGTGTTTACTAATTCTTCACTATTGTTTAATAAATTTATGAGTTTTTTCACTATTCATGACATATCTTTGTTCGTTCTTCTTGCTTATATCATATCCTGATTAATTATTCACTGTTTTGTCATCCCTTCGGTAAATCCTAATAATATTGTATTCTAGTGAATTCTTCTTTGATTTATCATATCTTCACTGTTACGTCACATTTTCTTTAGTTTTTCACTATAATATAATCATACATTTGCAGATTGGGTCACTGAAAATTTTGAAAGAGATATCCCAAAATACCCAAATCCGACGAGCAATAGCTGACCTCGGTGGCTTGCAGACAATGGTGAAAATTCTTCGTGACCAGGATAAAGATTTGAAATGCCTGGCCGCTGAGACTATTGCAAATGTCGCCAAGTTCCGTAGAGCTAGGCGTACAGTCAGGCAACATGGCGGAATCAAAAGATTGGTCAGTAAATTATGTGATTGGCTTACGTGGTTTTGGACTGTGCTTTATGTCATAAGTCATTTTATTGTTGACTGATTATTGATTTACGTATTAGCATCACAGCACACCAGGCATCCTCATAGATGCTCTGTCTTCCCCAGAAAATGTCTTAAGATGTAGATGCCAACTATTCCCAAAAAACACTGATTATACACACACAGTTCTCTTACATTCGTATGTCCCTCCTTGCTCTGCCAACTGCTGATTCCACGTTCACACATTCTTACACATATTATTTAATCTATAACCTCATGTATTCTATCGGTATTTGTTTATGAATAGTCTTCACAATGTCCCCTTTATCCAGTACAAGTGATCCTGTAGTAAACATTTTTGTAGCAAAAATATGTTCAATCTGCACACAGTCCAGCCTATTTATTGTGTGTCTATTTAGAATGCCATTTGATTGGTCAGTATACTGTGTGTCAGACTGCATTTGTGATTGGTTAGTATACAATGTTCATTGAGAGTATATTTTTATTTTTAACTCTTTGAGTCCCAGGGGGTTTAGCATCAGAGGCCCAAGTAGTGGTAATGCAATTTTTTTATTTCTAGTGTAACGCATTAAAACAGACCATACTAATTCAACACAACATACACATCTTATACGTCAAAGTGACCAGGGATTGTTGAGGAATAATTTTAGAATAAAGCTACAACAAATAATTCTGTTACTTATCTAATATTAGTAAACAAAAACAGACAGTATGTTTACAAAAATTAGTAAAATGAAATAAAAAATATTTTTCACTCACCAAGAAAAACTGGTTAAAATGTATCCAAAATGAATCAAAAATTAATATGAACCACTAAGTAATGTATAAGTAAAATATAAACTCAATCTATACATTAGATTTTGTTCCACAGAATCTTTTGAAGCATTATTACAGAGCACCATTATTTGGTAAAGAAAACTGACTTCCAGAACAATAAGTATCATCACACAAAACAAAGTTTATGTAACACTCAATGTACCTGTAATTTTGTAGCTATGTTTCTAAATAATAAGGGGAATAGCACTAGAACTAACTGACACTGAAGAAAATAGTCTTTTCACTAATGTTTATTCTATTTGTGCCAGCTGACTTTGCTATCGTTGTACCCTTCGCGTGAGGTACCCATTAGACATATCCCTCATCAAAGTTTGGCTCTATAAATGACTGAAACACATCTAATTCGCAACGTTATCTAACTAGCTTTGAATAAATCTAAAGAAAGTACTTTATTTAAATTTTAGGCTTCTAAGGCCGTAAATCATGTTGGTATCTACATAGAATACTGCTCGGCGGCCATATTCTTTTCAAACAAACACTTAGTAACTCAGGGAATCTTGCAAATATACTATATTTTCGGCTTTCAACCCACAATTTTAAATGAATTAATCAAGTAACAGAAAGTATTGTGAACGGCACTCATAGAAAGAAGTAGAAAGATAGAAGAACACACTAGACAACATAAAAATCGAAAGCTATAGTTACCGTGCCGGGAATTGAACCTGTCACCTCCAGACGGCGTCTGCGCCTCGCCATGAATACAAGTACACTAAGATACATGGTCAACTCGGCACCCCCAAAAAAAGGTGTCTCATTGGCCATGTCTATCGTACAGCTTGAAATCCACGACTATGGAATACGGACAGAATTCATTTCAACCCATTGAAATGGCACCATAGGTTACAGAAATTTATATTAACGAGGCAAATGTCAAATAACAATCACAGCAACAATTTACGTACACAGTAGACCTTATTGCCCTGTCTAGAATACACAAACATTTAAGAAAGGTATTTGATTGGTAGGTTCCGGTGTGTATACGTCATTCCTATAAATAAACAGAGAGGGGAACCATTTGAAGCCGTTAAATATTATGAATTAATCAAGTAACAGAAAGTATTGTGAACGGCACTCATAGAAAGAAGTAGAAAGATAGAAGAACACACTAGACAACATAAAAATCGAAAGCTATAGTTACCGTGCCGGGAATTGAACCTGTCACCTCCAGACGGCGTCTGCGCCTCGCCATGAATACAAGTACACTAAGATACATGGTCAACTCGGCACCCCCAAAAAAAGGTGTCTCATTGGCCATGTCTATCGTACAGCTTGAAATCCACGACTATGGAATACGGACAGAATTCATTTCAACCCATTGAAATGGCACCATAGGTTACAGAAATTTATATTAACGAGGCAAATGTCAAATAACAATCACAGCAACAATTTACGTACACAGTAGACCTTATTTCAATTCCCGGCACGGTAACTATAGCTTTCGATTTTTATGTTGTCTAGTGTGTTCTTCTATCTTTCTACTTCTTTCTATGAGTGCCGTTCACAATACTTTCTGTTACTTGATTAATTCATAATATTTAACGGCTTCAAATGGTTCCCCTCTCTGTTTATTTATAGGAATGACGTATACACACCGGAACCTACCAATCAAATACCTTTCTTAAATGTTTGTGTATTCTAGACAGGGCAATAAGGTCTACTGTGTACGTAAATTGTTGCTGTGATTGTTATTTGACATTTGCCTCGTTAATATAAATTTCTGTAACCTATGGTGCCATTTCAATGGGTTGAAATGAATTCTGTCCGTATTCCATATAGTCGTGGATTTCAAGCTGTACGATAGACATGGCCAATGAGACACCTTTTTTTGGGGGTGCCGAGTTGACCATGTATCTTAGTGTACTTGTATTCATGGCGAGGCGCAGACGCCGTCTGGAGGTGACAGGTTCAATTCCCGGCACGGTAACTATAGCTTTCGATTTTTATGTTGTCTAGTGTGTTCTTCTATCTTTCTACTTCTTTCTATGAGTGCCGTTCACAATACTTTCTGTTACTTGATTAATTCATAATATTTAACGGCTTCAAATGGTTCCCCTCTCTGTTTATTTATAGGAATTTTAAATGAGCACGCCTGATATCAGACAAAAAGAACTCTAAAGGAAGTTGAAACTGAGTGGTCCGTGTTTTATTTGG